ACGTTCCTGCACAACAAGGAGGGCTGCCAGCTGGACTTCAGCGACGACAACAACGCCTACATGATCTACTTCGTCAGCTTCCTGGGCACCTTGGCCGTCCTCCCCGGGAACATCGTCTCAGCCCTCCTCATGGACAAGATCGGCCGCCTCCGCATGCTGGGTGGGCACCCAGGGGGACGTTTCTGACGCTGAGGGTGGTGAGATGCTGGCCCAGGGTGCCCAGAGCGGGGTGGTGGATGCCCCATCCCTGGGAACATTCAAGGTCAGGTTGGACAGGGCTGGGAGCACCCTGGGCTGGGGGAAGGGGGCCCTGCCCGGGGCAGGGGGTGGCACTGGGGGGGCTTTAAGGGCCCTTCCAACCCAAACCAGTCTGTGAAATTGTGGATGAAGCTCTGAGCAACCTCATGCAGTGGGAGATCATGGCAGGAGGTTGGACTAAGTGATCTTTGAAGGTCTCTCCTAACCCAAACCAGTCTGAGCTGAAGCTCTGAGCAACCTCAGCTGCTGGAAGGTGTCCATGTCCACGGCAGGAGGTTGGGCTAGGTGATCTCTGAAGGTCCTTTCCAACCCAAACCAGTCTGAGCTGAAGCTCTGAGCAACCTCATCTACTGGTGTCCCTGCCCATGGCAGGAGGTTGGACTAGGTGATCTCTGAAGGTCCCTCCCAACCCAAACCAGACTATGAAGTTGTGGATGAAGCTCTAAGCAACCTGATCTAGTAGGAGATCACGGCAGGAGGTTGGACTAGGTGATCTCTGAAGGTCCCTCCCAACCCAAACCAGACTATGAAGTTGTGGATGAAGCTCTAAGCAACCTGATCTAGTAGGAGATCATGGCAGGAGGTTGGACTAGGTGATCTTTGAAGGTCCCTCCCAACCCAAACCAGCCTGTGAAGTTGCAGATGAAGCTCTGAGCTGAAGCTCTGAGCAACCTCAGCTGCTGGAAGGTGTCCCTGCCCATGGCAGGAGGTTGGGCTAGGTGATCTCTGAAGGTCCCTCCCAACCCAAAGCTTTCCATGATCTTCTGCCTCAGTTTCCCCTCCCCGGTGCGGCGGGCGGGCAGGATGCCGGTGCCCTGTCCCGGCCCTGACGTGTCCCCGTGTCCCACCACAGCCGGCTCCAGCGTCATGTCCTGCGTCAGCTGCTTCTTCCTCTCCTTCGGCAACAGCGAGTCGGCCATGATCGCGCTGCTCTGCCTCTTCGGCGGCGTCAGCATCGCCTCCTGGAACGCCCTCGACGTGCTCACCGTGGAGCTCTACCCCTCCGACAAGAGGTGCGGGTGGCCCCACGGCCGGCACCCCACGGCGGGCGAGGCGTAGGGTGCCGGGGGCGAGGCGGGGGGTGCTGGGTGCCAGATGTGGGGTGCCACGGGGGAGGTTTTGGGTGCAGAGTGCAAGGTTTTGGGTGCTGGGTGCCAGATACGGGGTGCCAGGTGTGATGTCTTGGGTGCTGGGTGCCAGATATAGTTTCTGGGTGCAAGGTTTTGGGTGCTGGGTGCCAGATGTGGGATGCCAAGGAGGAGGTTTTAGGTGCTGGGTGCCAGATACAGGGTGCCAGGTGTGATGTCTTGGGTGCTGGGTGCCAGATGTGGGCTCTGGGTACAAAATTTTGGGTGCTGAGTGCCAGATGTGGGTCCTGGAGGTGAAGTTTTGGGTGCCAAGTGCAAAACATGGGGTGCTAGATGCAAGGTTTTGGGTGCTGGTTTCAAGATGCAGGGTGCTAGGTGCAAGGCTTTGGGTGCTGAGTGCCAGGTGCAGGGTGCCAGATCTGGGGTGCTGGTTGCAAAGTTGTGGGTGCCAGATGTGAGATCTTGGGTGCTGGGTGCCAGCTGTGGGGTGCCGGGTGCCAGCTGTGGGTTGCTGGGTGCCAGATCTGGGGTATTGGGTGCCAGCTGTGGGGTGCTGGGTGCCAGATCTGGGGCTCTGGGTGCCAGCTGTGGGGTGCTGGGTACCAGATATGGGGTGCTGGGTGCCAGATCTGGGGTTCTGGGTGCCAGTTGCAGGGTGTTGGGTGCCAGATGTGGGGTTCTGGGTGCCAGTTGTGGGGTGTTGGGTGCCAAATCTGGGGTTCTGGGTGCCAGTTGTGGGGTGCTGGGTGCCAGATCTTGGGTACTGGGTGCCAAATCTGGGGTGCTGGGTGCCAGTTGCGGGGTTCTGGGTGCCAGTTGCAAGGCGCTGGGTGTCAGATCTGGGGTGCTGGGTGCCAAATCTGGGGTGCCGGGTGCCAGTTGCGGGGTGCTGGGTGCCAGATCTGGGGTTCTGGGTGCCAGTTGCGGGGTGTTGGGTGCCAGATCTCAGGTACTGGGTGCCAAATCTGGGGTTCTGGGTGCCAGTTGTGGGGTGCTGGGTGCCAGATCTTGGGTGCTGGGTGCCAGATGTGGGGTGCTGGGTGCCAGTTGTGGGGTTATGGGTGCCAGTTGCGGGTGCTGGGAGTCAGATCTGGGGTGCTGGGTGCCAAATCTGGGGTGCCGGGTGCCAGTTGCGGGGTGCTGGGTGCCAGATCTGGGGTGCCGGGTGCCAGTTGCAGGGTGCTGGGTGCCAGATCTGGGGTGCCGGGTGCCGGCTTGAAGTTTTCAGGCGCCGGCTGCCACTTGCACCACCGGCAGCCACAACGGGGGGTGGGGGGGTGTTCCTTTGGGGGTCACCATTGGCCGTCTGCCCCCCCCACTAAATTTTTTCCGTGTGTGTGTGTCCCCCCGTGTCCCCCCCCCCCCCCCAGGACAACAGCCTTCGGTTTCCTCAACGCCCTCTGCAAGCTGGCGGCCGTGCTGGGCATCAGCATCTTCACGTCCTTCGTGGGCATCACCAAGGCGGTGCCCATCCTCCTGGCCTCGGCCGCGCTGGCCCTGGGCAGCTCCCTCGCCTTGAAACTGCCCGAAACGCGGGGGCAGGTCCTGCAGTGACGGGGGGGGGGGGGAAAGAAAAGAAAAAAAATGGGGGGGGGTGGGGGGGAGGCGGCGGGGAAGAGAGGCTGGGGGGGGGGGGGAGCGGCGAGGGGGCGGGGGGCTGGGGGGAAAGGGGGGGGGAACCCCCCCCCCTCCCCTCTTCCTTCCCTGTGCCGTTATTCCCGCCCCCCCCCCTCCCCAAAATCCCAGTTCCCCTCCCTGCGCCCCCCCCACACCCCCCCGGGGGATTAGTCTCGTTAGACACTGTGAAACGTCTTCTTGGAGCATTCGGGATCGTTTTCATTTGCACTTGGCACCCCTCGCCCCCCCCAAAAAAAAAAACCTCTGCCCCCCCCTCCCCAAACCCCTATCCCCCCAAACCCCTAACCCCCCCACCCAAATCCCTGATGCCCCCCAACAAAGCCCCCCCCCCCCCATTTCTTTTCTCGCTGTCACCCCCTCTGTGAATAGCTGCTCGCTCCAGGGGGGCTGGGAGGGGGGGGCCAGGGGTGCCTCAGCTTTTTGGGGTGTGGGGGGGGTGGGGAGGAACAGGCCCTGTGCCCCCCCCATCCCTGCTGAGCCTGGGGAGGAGGAGGAGGAGGAGGAAGGCGCCATGCCTCAGTTTCCCCCGCCAGAGGGAGGTTGGCAGGACCCCATCCGCACCCCCCCCTCTGCCCCCCAAAGAGGATTTGGGGGGGCACCTTGGGGTGAACAGCCTTTTGGGGGGGGGTGGGTGGTGCGAGACCCCTTGGGGTGCACGGCACTGGGGCATGCAGAGCGCCTTGGGGTGCACAGGCCGGGTGGGGAGCTCAGCCCTTTGGGGTGCACGGTATGTTGGGGTGCACAAGGCTTTTGGGGGGGCGCATGGCCCTTTTGGGGGGCGCATGGCACTTTTGGGGGGCTCATGGCACTTTTGGGGCGCACTGCACTCCCTGCCGCACAACCCCCTCGGGTTCACATGACGTTTTAGGGTGCCCACGAGCCTTTGGGGTGCGCAACATTTTGGGGTGCACGACGCCTCGGTTTGTGCGGCATTTTAGGGTGCATGATACCTCGGGGTGCATGGCACCTGGGGGGGGGGGGGGGGGAGAGTGCCCGGCGTTTTGGGGTGCATGGTGCTTCAGCATGCACAGCACCCCGGGGGGGCTCAGCATTTTGGGGTGCCCACCTTTTGGGGTGCAGAACCCGGCACCCCGGGGGGGGCTCAGCATTTTGGGGTGCCCACCTTTTGGGGTGCATAGCCTGGCACCCCGGGGGGGGCTCAGCATTTTGGGGTGCCCAGCATTTTGGGGTGCAGAACTCAGCACCCCGGGGGGGCTCAGCATTTTGGGGTGCCCACCTTTTGGGGTGCAGAGCCCCATCGTTGAACCCAGCAGCAACCCCCGAGCGCAGCCCCAGCCCTTCCTCTAATTTTGGGGTGCAGCTGGGTGGCGAATTCCCCAAACTGCCATTTAATATTTGTTTTTAATGGATTTTCTTTCTTTAGGGGTGCTGGTGTGGATTCGGGGGGGCGCAGGGTGCTCCCTGCACCCCCTTTTTGCCCCTTGCACCCCTTTTCCCCCCCCCAGCCCAGAGCACAAAACCACCAGCGGTTTGCAAAGCACAAAGCGGTGCCCGGATGCAACACTGGGACTTCCCCCCCCCCCCCCCCCCAAAAAAAAAAAAGTGGGGTACGGGGTGTGCTGGGGGGGCCCCTAGGGCTGTGCGCCCCCCCCCCCCCCCCCCAAGCCAGTCCCCACCAAGGGATGGGAAGTGCTGCTCTATGCAAAAGCACTTTGAAGGCCCCCCCCCCACCCCCATGCAGCCCCCCCAATATTTAGGGCAGCCCCCCCCAGCATTGCGAGCAGCCCCCCCCATGCGATCGAGCGGTGTGTGCTTCATCTCCTCCTCCTCCTCCTCCTCCCCCCCCCCCTTTGGTGTAGCTGGTCCTTTGGGGAGCACCCCCGTGACCCGCCCCCCCCCCCCCCGTAGTTCTGTCTGTACGCAGTCGTGCTGTGCTGTAGTTTTTAGATGTTTGTAAATTAATTAAACAAAACAAAAAACCACCAAACACCTGTGTCCGTCCGTCCCCCCCCCCCAAAAAAAAAAAAAAAAAAAAAGGTGAAAGGATTATCCAGGTGGTTTCCAACAGCGGGGTTTATTTTTTGGGGTGCAGGGTGGGGGGGATGCGCCCCCGAGATGGTGAAGATTTAAAGATTTCCAGTAAATCAGGAGGGACACCCCCACTCTAAAATCCCCCCCCACCTTAAGTTGGGGGGGACACGCTGCGTGGTGGCTGGGGGTGATGCAGGGAGGGGGGGTCACCCCGCTATTTTTGTTGCCCCCCCATTGGGGCTGTGGAGGGGGGCGGGGGGGGGGGGGGATGTTTTCGTCACTGCTCCCCCACCGCGGCCCCGCGCCGCTCGTGCTTGGCCCCGCCGCCCCCCCCCCCCGAACAAGGGGGCGGGGGGGGGACGTGGGGGTCGCTCTCCCATTGTTGGGGGGTCCTGGCGACGATGGCGAGGGCGTGGAGGGGGCCGGCCAGCTCGGTGCGAAGGGCGGCGTGGACGAGGCGGTGGCGTTGGAGGGGGGGCAGACCCGCGAAGCGCCCGCTGACCACCACCACCCGAAAATGGGTCTCGGCGCCGGGGGGGCCGCCGTGGCGGGGGCTGTCGTTCAGGATTTGGAGGTGCGTGGGGTGCAGGGCCGCCGCCAGCTTGGCGCGGATGGCGCGAGCCAGCGGGCCGGCGTCCCCCATGGCTCGGAGCCCCCGGCCGGTGGCCACCAGGAAGGGACCCCGCATCCGGAGAGGGGGGGCTGCAAGGGAGAGGAGGGGTGTAAGGAAAGAGGGGGGGGGGGTATAGGGGGGGCCATGGGGTAGAGGGTGTTGGGGGGGGTTGTGGGGGTGTTGGGGGGAGCACTTGGGGGTTGAGGGTGTTGGGGGGGGGCGTGGGGGTGTTGGGGGGAGCACTTGGGGGTTGAGGGTGTTGGGGGGGGGCGTGGGGGTGTTGGGGGGGACACTTGGGGGTTGAGGGTGTTGGGGGGTGTAAGTGGGGGGGTTTGAGGGAGCACTTGGGGGTTGAGGGTGTTGGGGGGGGCGTGGGGGTGTTTGGGGGGAGCACTTGGGGGTTGAGGGTGTTGGGGGGGGCGTGGGGGTGTTTGGGGGGGCCCTTGGGGGTTGAGGGTGTTGGGGGGGGGCGTGGGGGTGTTTGGGGGGGCCCTTGGGGGTTGAGGGTGTTGGGGGGGGGCGTGGGGGTGTTGGGGGGGTCTTTAGGAGCAGAGGGTCTAAGTAGAGGGGGGGCCATGGGGATAAAGGGGGGGTCCTGCAGGAGCAGAGGGTGTAAGTGGGGGGGTTTGGGGACACCCATGGGGGTAGAGGGTGTGTGTGGGGGCGTGGGGTTGTTTGGGGGGGCACTTGGGAGTTGAGGGTGTTGGGGGGGGGGGTGTCTTTAGGATCAAAGGGTCTAAGTAGGGGGGGGGCATGGGGATAAAGGGGGGGTCCTGCAGGAGCAGAGGGTGTAAGTGGGGGTGGCAGGAGAGGGGGTTGTATGGGGTGTGGATTTTGGGGGGGCTCTGCAGGGTCAGACCCCATAAATGAGGGTGGCAGAAGGGGGATTTATGGGGAGGAGGAGTTTGGGGGGGCCCTGCAGGAGCAGAGGTGGAAGTGGGGGTGACAGCAAGGGTGAGGGTAGGGGGGGCTTCCATGGAGGGTGGTGCTTAAGGGTGATGATTTTGGGGGGGCCCTGCAGGCTCAGCCCCCGATTATGTGGGTGCCGGGGGGGGCGGGTTAAGGGGTGGTCCTTTGGGGGGGGGGGGGGCTGCAGAATCAGACCCCGAAACTGGGTGGGGGGATAAGGGGGGAGGGTTTGGGGGCGGGGGGGGCTGTGCAGGGGGCGAACTCTGGCTTTTGGGGGGGGATGTGGGGGGGATCCCCATCCAGCCTCAGGCCCCCCAGACCGGAGTGGGTGGAGCGGGGCCTGATCCCGCCTCCCGCCGCCATATGCAATACAGAGGGTGCACCCCCAAATCCCACCACCCCCCCAAATGCAGGAGGTGCACCCCCCAAATCCCCCCCCCGCAATATCGGGGTTCCCTCACCCGACCGGCGCCCCGGGCTCCGCTCCGCCGCTGAGCACGCTGGGAAATGGCGGACGCCCGTCACGTGAGGCCGTCGGAACTACAGCTCCCAGCAGGCTTTGCGGCGGCACCGGCGGGGGCGGAGCGCAAGGTGTGGGGTGACACCACCGGGTGCGTCACCGGGGGGAGGGGGGGGGGGGGCGGAACCGGGGGGAAAAAAAAAAAAAAAAAAAAAAAAGCCTGACCCATAACTTCCTCCCACACCGACCCCAGCCCAAGGATTTGTGCTATCGCGTTGTAAAAATATGATTCATTTCTCTCCAAAAAAAGGCTCCCGGGGGATTCACGAGGCCGGTGTCCCCCCCCGCCCAGGGGTGACTAATGAAATCCGGGGGTTTAGGAGCCGCTGTAGGAGCCGCGTTATTTACGGCCCGCCACGCGCTGGGCTGCGGATTAAGGGAAAAATTAATTAATCATGGGGTGGAAATGAATCGCTGTTTTTCTCTCGCTTGGCTCCTGCAAGCCGGCGCGGTGCCCGCCACCCCCCGGGGCTTTGGGGGCGCGCCCTGCCCAGCAGCCGCCCTGCTTACGGCCACCTGGGTGCCACCAGCTGTCCGCAGCGTGTCCCCACCCGCTGTCCTCACCGAGCTCCCCGGGGACACGGCCCTGGAGCCCCCGTCCCTGTCCCCATCCCCGGGGACACGGCCCTGGACACCCTGTCCCCATCCCTGGTGTCACAGCCCCAGACCCCCTGTCCCCGTCCCTGTCCCTGTCCCCATTCCTGGGTACATGGTTCTGGACTCCCTGCCCCCATCCCCATTCTCATCCCCTCTCCCTGGGGACACGGTCCTGAACCCCCTGTCCTGTCCCCATCCCTGGGGACACAGCCCTAAACCCAGGGACCACCCAAGCCCCGCCCCCCGCCCCTCCTGGGCCGCGCCCCACCACGTCACCCCGCCCCCGCATCGCCCTGATTGGCTGCGACTCTCCGCCCCGCCCCCGGCCCTCCGGGGCGGGTGACGGCAGCACGCCCCGCCCCCCCAATGCCCTTATATAGCGTGGCGGGACGGCGAAGAGGAGAGGGGTGTTGGCGGCGCCACGTGACCCGCGGCGGAGCCGGGTGGGGCCCACGCGTGTCCCTACACACACCCACTTCCCCCCCACACACACTATTGCACACACCCCGGTCCCTGCACACACACACTTCCCCCCCCCCGCATTGCACTGAGATCCGTGGGCGGGCCCCCCCCCCGCCCACCACCCACGCACGGGGTGCCCACGGCTCCACGCACACGCCCCCCCCACCTTGCACAAGGCTCCGTGAACCCCCCCCCCCAACACACACACCCCCCCGGCACCGCCCAGCAACGCTGCCGGTCCCTCCCCCAGGGAGAGTTTGGGGAGGGGAGCGGGGTGTCGGGCCGGTTCCCCGCGGGACCGTGACCCGCGTGGTGCGGCCAGAGCTGGGACAGGGACAACGTCAGCCCCTTCCGGGGCTGCCCGGGCCGACGGGACACCCCCCCACACCTCCCCGCCCCGGGGAGCGGGCCCCCCCGCCGCCAGCCCGGCCCCCCCGGAGCCTCCCGGGCAGCCCCCGCGGGGAGGGGAATTAACTTTTCTCTTTCTCCTCCTCCTCCTCTTCCTCCTCCTCCGCCACCGCCGCCGCCGCCAGTCCTTCTCCGTCCCTCCGGCCCCGCCGCACTCCGCCGTCCCTGCCCTCCCCGCCGCCCCGGGGGTCCCCCCCAGCCCGGGCCCCGACTTCCCGCCCGGGTTCCTTCCCCCCGGCCCGGGCTCCTCTCCCGATCCCGGGGGCTCTTTCCCCCCAGACCGGGCGCTCCCTGCCCCGGGGCTCCCCTTTTCCATCCCCGGACCCCTCTCTCCATCCCCGGCTCCTTCCCCGCCCGGGATCCCCCCCATCCATCCCCCGGGTCCCCCCTCGATCCCGGGGGCTCCTTTCCCACCCCTCCATCCCCGAAACCCCTTCTCCATCCCCGGCGGCTCTTTCCCCCCAGCCCGCGCTCTCCCTGCTCCGGGGCTCCCCTTCTCCCTCCCGGGGCTCCTTTCCCACCCTTTCTCCATCCCGGACTCCCCTTCTTCATCCCCCGGTCTCCCCCATCTCCATCCCCGGGTCTCCCCTTTCTCCATCCCCGACTCCCCCATCTCCATCCCGTATCCCCCGCTTCCTCCCCGGTTCTCCTTCCCCTCCAGCCCCATCCCTCCCCCCAAGACACCCCCTTCCCCCGGGGGGAGGGGGGGCTCCCCCCCTCCCCTCCCCTCCAGCATGGCCCTGGCGGCGGGGCCGTGGCCGGAGCCTCCTCTTCCTCCTCCTCCCCCTCCTCCTCCTCCTCCTCCCGGTGGCCCGGAGGCGACGGCGAAGGCTGCGGGGGATTGCCTGGTGTGCGGGGACAAGGCGAGCGGGAAACATTACGGGCAATTCACCTGCGAGGGTTGCAAAAGTTTTTTCAAACGTTCCGTGCGGCGCAACCTCTCCTACAGCTGCCGGGGGGGCCGGGACTGCCCGGTGGATCAGCACCACCGAAACCAGTGCCAGTACTGCCGGCTCCGCAAGTGCCTCCGCGTGGGGATGCGGCGGGAAGGTGGGGAGAGGGTCCGGGAGGGAAGGGGGAGAGGGTGGGGATAGGGGAGGGCTGGGAAGGGAAGGTGGAAAAAGAGAGAGGGTGGAAAAGCGGGAGAGAAGAGCGAAAAGGAGAGAGGGTATGGAAAAAGAGAGAGGGTGCAAAAGAGTGAGAGAAGGTGGAAAAGAGGGAAGAAGAGGGAAAGGGAGAGAGGATGTGGAAAAAGAGAGAGGGTGGAAAGGGAGAGGGTATGGAAAAGAAGGACAGAGGGTGCAAAAGAAGGAGAGGGGATAGAAAAGAGGGAGAGAAGATGGAAGAGAGGGTGGAAAAGGGGAGAGGCTGAAAAGAGGGAGAGAAGATGGAAAAGAAAGGGTGGAAAAAAGGGAGAGGGGATGGAAAAGAGAAAGGGAAGATGAAAGGGAGAGAAGGTGGAAAAGAGGGAGAGGGGATGGAAAAGGAGAGGGGGTACAAAAGAAGGACAGAGGGTGGAAAAGGAGAGGGGATGGAAAGAAGGGAGCAGATGTGAAAAAGAGGGAGAAGGAATGAAAAAGGAGAGAGGATGGAGAAGGAAAGAAGGTGCCAAAGACGGAGAGAGGTTGTAAAAGAAGGAGACGCGGTGTGAAAAGGCTGGAAAGGGAGAGGGGATGGTGAAGAGGGAGCGAAGATGGAGAAGAGGGAGAGGGGATGAAAAGGGAGAGAGGGTGGAAAAGAGGAAGAGCAAGTGCCAAAGGAGAGGGGACGCAAAAAAGGGCGAGAGGCTGGGAAAGGATGGGGGGTGCAGAGGAGGGAGACGGTGCTAAAGGGAGAATGGCAAGAGTGAGGAAGGGTGAGAGCAAAGGCAGCAAAGAAAGGGAGGGATAAAAGCTGAAAAGGGCTAGAGGGAGCAAAAAAAGAAAAAGGGGAAAGGGAGGAAAAAAGAGGTGAAAAAAGTGCAGGAGCAAAAAAGAGAAAGAGGGAAAAGAAAGGAGGAAGGGAGGGAGGAAGCCTGAATGGTAAAGACAAAAGAGAAAGAGAAAGGTGAGAATAGGAGAGAGCAAAAAGGAGAAAGCAAAAAGAAAAAGAGAAAGAAAAAGGGAAGGAAGAGAAAGAGAAAGGAGCACCTGAAGAAAGAGAAAGTAAAAGAAAGAAAGTGAAAGCAGGTGAGAAAGGGCTGGCAAGGAAGGAAAGAGAAAGAAAAAAGGGAAAAGAGAAAGAGAAAACTCCTCTCCCTCTTCTCTTTCATTTTTCTTTCGCTCTTCATCCTCCCACCGTCCCTCGGCCCCATCATTTTGGGGTGAACATCCCAGGTCAGGGAGGAACTCCCCTCGGCGGCAGCCGAAACCCCCTCGCCCATCTCCGTCCCCCCCAGGGCTTCGGCTCGCGCCTCCTTTTTGCAACTCCAAATTCCGCAGCATCCCCCCAGCCACGATCTCGGGGCTCCCTCCTCTCCCGGCCTTTGCCTTCAAGGGGATAAACCCCCACAGCGTTATTTTTTTGGCTTTTCCCATGGGAAAGGCTCGGCCGAGGGAACACGGTTCTTATTCCACTTAATTATATCATCGTATAAACTCCTCTTTTCAACTTTCAATTTCTTGTGCGCTTAGCTTAGGCTCGGTCTATAGGTCCGGGTCTACGCTGAGATGGGGATAATTTACTTTTCCTCTTCGTTTTATGCAGCCCAGGGACGTGGCTCTTAAAAAAACCCGGGGATTAGAGGGCGATAATACAGATATTCTTTAAAAGATTAAGAATTTGGCTTTTTGGAAGAAGTGTCCAGTAAATCTGAAGATAATTAGTCTGAATACTTAGCGTGACCGGGATTAAAATCGCATTTCAAGCTCCCAGTGATATGCCATGTGCCGGTCCCTCTGCCTCCAACCAGCCCCATTATTTGGGGTTGATTTTATTTTTTCCCCCAAAAGCAGCAGCTATAAATCAGATTTTTTTTTTTGGGGGGGGGGGCTGTTTGAATCTGAAATCGTGCGTTGGGGCATTGGCTTTGCCGCTGTGCCGAAACCTCAGCCCTGCAGCAACCTCCCTGCTTGAATAAGGACCTGGGGGGGGTCCTGGTTTATATTCAAGGTCCTTATTTATAAATTTAGTATTTATAAATAATTATAGGAGGGCCCAGGCTGGGCTTAGCTGATTGAACCCCCCCAGCTCTGCCTTATCCACTGAACAAGGGATTTATTCTGCAGCCCCTCGAGTTGGTGCCGATGGGCTGGTTCTTCAGCAACAGCGACGGCAGCAATGCCCGCACCCGGAAAGTCGCCTTTCCTAGCATTAAAAAAATCCCCAAAATTCAGAAGTTGCCTTTTCTAGCATTAAAAAAATTTAAAAATTTATAAAAATTCAGGTAAGGTGGGTGGTGGGAAAGGGACACCCCCCGGCACCCCGACACAGCCGCAGCGTTGCACCCCGGCTTACACAAATAAATGTGAATTAAGCGGGACCAGAGTCAGGGGTGAAATCAGCTCAAGCCTAACCCTCAATTTTCACTTTTCTTCCCCAAAAAGCCGGTTGGATGTTGGTGGGGGGGGTGTGTGTGTATTTTTGCAGAGGTTCTTGGCGCAGC